TGTTGACCACCTGAGAGGACGGTTTTTGTATATTGCCAATCTTGCCTGTCTGATCTGGCGTTGGTAGTGTTCCGACCCTGTTTGCCCGGGTCTTCGCTTCAGCCCCATTGCTCTGGCTACCAGCCGGTATTGCGTTGTGTTTGCTGCTGAAAGGAGTGTGTGATGCACTGGCCAACTTTCACAGCCCCAAAGGGCTGCTGTGGTAATGGTCGTTGCCATGGGTTTGAGCTTGGCTAGTAGTGGATGCTTGTGGAATGCTATTCTGGCTTTGGTTGCAAGGTGCGCTGCGAGGTGGCCCTCGTTTGCTTGGAAAGATACTGGCTGGTTGAACACACTGATGGGGGTATTGGGTGGTCTGGCTTTGATTGTTTCCCTCCCCAAACTGATGGTTGTCGGTTCTGGCGTTTCATGGCTTTGAATGAACTGTGTCTTGTCTGGTTGTATTTGCATGCCGTGTGCATCCAGTCTCCTTTCAAGGTCCGTGGCCATCCTCTGCAGCCGCGGTAGGCTCGTGGACCAGAGGTATGTGTCGTCCATGAATTACCCTCCTTCGTGTGGTGGTCCTGGGTTTCCCTGGACCGGAGGGGGCGTTTGGTGTGCTTCCAGGGTGTTCTCCAGGATCTGGCCTGCCTTGAGGGCGAAAAGGATTGGCGAGTCGGGACTGCCCTGGCGGACGCCGTTTGTTTGCCTCACTGGGATTGGTTGCTGGTTGGCTGGGGGGGCAGGGATAAGGTGGAGTTTTTGGCCGTGTATAATGCTCAACCACGCTCTTGCTTCCCATGGGTGTGTGTGTTGTAGCTTGCTTGCTACCATGGCTGCAACCGATGTTTGTTTTATGCTGTCAAAGGCTTTCCTGATATCCATGAGAATCCACAAATCGAAACCCCAGTCCCTGGCCATCCTCGCCATTCTCCTGATTGTGGTGAGCAGCTCGCTTGCCTGCTTACCTGAACGTGCAAATTGGTGGACTGGTGGCTGTTGTTGTAGGATGTGGTTGCATCTGTGTAGCAAGAGCTGTGCCATGGTCCTGTCTATGGCGTTGCTCAGCGTGATTGGGCGCGTGTCTTTCCACTTGGATGGCTGCGCTGTTTTGGGGAGCAGGACTGTGATGTCCTGATACCCTTGTGAGGGGCTTTTGCCTTTGTCGTCTTCCCTCTCTTTTGTGGGCTGCCTGGATCAGCTTCCAGCGCTGTCTTGTTTGGTCTTGCGGGATTTGCCCTGTGGTGAGCTTGTGTCTGTGTTGCTTGAGTTGCCTGCTCTCCTGGAATTTGGCCTTAGGGTATGCTTCCGTGATTGTACGCGCCATGGCTGCCAGGCTGTCCCAGGGGTGTGCATTGGCTGGAGGGTGTGGGAGCTTTACCCCCAGTTGCTTGAGCTTCATGGGGTGATGCGTGAAGGTCTGGCTTGTCGTCCCCTGTTTGTCTCTGTACGTGACTGTTGCCACTACTGCTTCGTGGTCACTGAGGGCAAAGTCTCTGGACCTCTCCAATGGTATAATATTCTGTGCGACTTTCCTGGACGTGCTAATGTAGTCCAAGCGGCGGCTGCGCATTTGTGTGTTGTAAGGGTGGTAGGAGGGTATGTTGTCATGTTGTGGTGGGAGGTGGTGGTTGTGTTGTGAGAGCCAGTCCAAGATAAGGTCCCCCCTTGCGGTGGTTGCTGTTTGGCTGTCTGTATTGAATGTCTCGTTCCAATCTGCTCCTATGATGCATGGGTGCTGTTGCAGCTGTGTATGGCTGGCTTGCCATTCCTGCAGGTGGTGGTGAGTCTGTTCCAAAGTGGCGTGGTGTGGTAGGTGTGCTGACAAGATGTGGATGCTGCCTCCTGTGTTGGTGTGTAATGTGGCCCCTATGCTTGCTGTGGCTGTGGTACTGCCGAGGCGTGAAAGGCGATGCCTGTACCCCTCCACTCCAACTGTGATTTGTGCGCTAGAACGGTCCACTTGTGCCCGCTGCAACACTGGAGGCCATCCTCTTCAAGGATGATTTCCTGAAGTGTGAATATCGAAATCTTGCCCAGTTGAGGGTGATATTCCAGCTGATGGAACAAGTGAGGAATTTCTTTTAGAGAGATCCCTCCGAGGTTCCACGTGGCAAGTGTTGCGTGAAACTGTTGCTTGGGTGTCATGGTGGACTTCCTGCGGGTCTAGGAGGGATTGCCATGCTGCCGTGATCACCTCCTTGGTCTTGCCTGTAAAAGTTGCCACAGCTTCTGGGTCAAGCCAACCCAGCGGTGACTTGGAGGTGGTCTGCCCATGCGGAGGTGGTGCCGTTGCACTTGCCACACGCCGTCCTCTGCACCACAAAGTGCCCGTAGCAAACTCCACCTGGATATCTCCTTTCTCAGCACCTTGCTCCAACAATAGCCGTTTGACTTTGCCAGCGTATCTTGCCCGCTTTCTGCGTTCTGGTGTTTGTGAGTATGCCAGCCACAAGTATTTGGGTGTGCCGTCCGGGTTGAGCGCCCCTGTTGCCTTTCTCGCGTTCCTCACTTCTTGGATGGCTGTGGTGAGGCGACCAAACACGTTGCTCTCTGCCTCATTGTGGCGGGATGCATATGGGATCACAAGGTATCCTCTGCGGACCCCTGGCACGAATGCACTCTCCATGTCCAAGTCGAGCTGCATCTTTGTGCCGTGTCCTTTGCTAGCTGGAGCGTTGTGTTGGCTTCCTGGTCGTCTGCCCAACCTCCCATTATCAACGCTGGTTGCCTGTCTTCTACGGTTGTTGTGGAGTTGGTGTGCTGTTGCTTGGGTGGACTTGCCTCAAGTTTGTCCAAACGCTGTTGAATGGAGGTGATGCTCTCAGTGTTGACTTTCTCTTGGCGCTGCAGTGCTATCAAATCCGTGGTATGCTGGCTTTGCGCGTTTGTGATGGCTGTGAGAAGGTTCACTTGTTCTTGCCTGCGCTCTGTGAAAGCGGTCTCAACCTGTCCCACCCTGGTGTCGATCTTTCCCATCTGAGCGATCAAGGGTTGAATCGTTGACTGGAAGAGCTCGAGCGTCAGGGGTGTGCCTTCGGAGCTTGCTGGTGCGGGGCAGGGTCTCTTGTTGGCTGGGCTTTCCAAATCGACATCAATTGCATTGCCCAGTGGGTTTGCTACGCCTGTCTTTGCCGCCATGGTTTGGTTTGCCGGGGTGGTCGTTGCCTCTGCTCTCCGACTTTGCCTTCCAGGGTGAAGATTGCCTCGCTGGTGTCCTTGCCAGAGTCACGGTCTGGTATATGTTGTCCAGGTTCGCCCAGTGTTGTGGATGCGGAGGAAGTTGTAGTAGGTGCTCCTCTGAATCGGGTCAAAGGCCTGCAGTGCAGCAACTGATGCCGGTGTGCTCCAAACTGGTAGGCGATGTTGAGCAGGTTGGCAATGAGGAAGACGCGTAGTGTTCGACCTTGCCCTTGTGGTTTATTGCCCCTACAGGCAGAGGGAAGCGGCACGAGTGTGGTTGCTCTACAGCCCACCTGGAACTTACAGAAGGAGGAGAAAACTACACTGACAGGGCCGGAGTGTTCACAGGGGGCTTGATGTGGTAGTGGCTTGAGCCAAAATGGCGTTTGCTGATCTCTCTCTCTCTCTCACTGCTATACCCCTCCAGGAAGGAGGGGCCGGGGCACTGCCCCAAGCAGGAAATGTCTCCGTGACCATGGACCGTGGCAGGGCCCGGTTATTGCGCTTACCCCCGGACACGCAGAAACACAAAGAGATAAACCTAAGGTCCCCGATAAGCTATGTGCACTTCTTCAATGAGCATACTCCCTTGCGTCCAGGTCTAAGGGCCTCACCGCTTCTACCTCCGGGGTGACACCTCCCCACCCCCTGTGACCCATTCAGTCACCCTGTACATTCGGAGCAGAGGGACCATTACCCACATGT